CGAATAGGTTGGGGAACCCCAAAAAATTCAGCCATGCGCATCATCTACGCTGTCATTTGCTGATTTGACTGGGTGGTATTTTGTATTAGAGGGTTAAGCATTGTACTCAAAGTTTGTGCCAACATTTGCACCATGTCATGGTTACTTTCATCCATTTGTTGCCTCAAAATCGCCGTAGAAGCATTTGTGAGGCTTGGCATCGTGTGGGATGTTCTTGTTCCTGCCAAGAATTGGTTCCTACCCAAATTTGCCATACTAGTTCCAGATCCCTGCAATGGTGAAGATGCACTCACCAAAGGTTCTGAAAATATGGACGAAACATTCATAAGGCTTGCCATTTCAGTAGTTGGCATGCCATAAGGTTATTCTCGGCCCATCCAGGCCGTTGAAAACCCTGGAGGGATGTAGGGTCAAACCCCTAGATTTCCCCTTGGTAGGGGAGTTCCTGGTGGACCCCTGGGACCTACATAAGAAAGTATTGGTCCTGTTTGTGTAGCCGTCAACGCTGGTGTCGAACCAACTGTTGATGGCATGGGCTCACTAATTATTGGTATAACAGTATTTCCAATGCTAGAAATTGGTGGAGGCATTTCTCCACTACTAGACGGATTGACCATTTTACTATTTCTTCTCTTAGGTATGTATTCGTGAGTGGTTGTTTTGCCACTTCTCAATAACATACAACAATCTTTGAAAGAAAAGAAATTACTTGAAGCATAAAAACTATTTTTATCAGAGTTTATAAAACAAGAAAACTTAGCAACGTCTCATCAGGTGTGCCAATTTATTTACCGTGAAAATTGGTAAACAACCGTTGATCTTCCAAAAAGGGTTATTTTGGTGACTTGCAGGATCGATCAGATTGATCCTAGAATATATGCTAAGTTATTTCGTAAGTTTAACAAATTTAAGTGAAAAAGGTTAAGGGGAGAATTAAGGGTAGAGGAAAGATGCAAACGAAAACTTGATAAAAGTGCAAGTAAAAAGTAAGTAGAAAGGGGTTGAGAAGAGTTTAAGGATAAAGGTTGAAAAATGATAACAAGTGCAAGTAAAGACGAGATAAAGTAAATTTGCAGTAATGATAAAGTTTGCAAGGAGATGTAAATGGCAAGGAATGTAAAGGAATTGTAAAGACTTTGATTGAAATAAAAGATAGTGTTTCAAACGTACATTCTCAATATCTTTTCTCTCACAACGAGTACTTGGATATATTTGAGTAACTTGTACAATATGTTGAACACACATAATTTTTACACAAACCTCCTATATTTATACTGAAACTAAGTAACCGTCGAGCAGTTACCTCGTTCCAGGATGAGGAAAAATGTCCTTTGCATGTGCTTCGACCTCTATTTTTATGCCACGTTTCTTTCCTCAACTGTCGAGTGAATTGCATTTCCCTCCTTTTCTTCAGATTCAAAATTACTCGCTTGCTGATACGAGAACCTTTTAGTCGAAGGCCACAAGAGCCTCTCAGTCGAAAACCAATTTTAACTTAGAAAATCCTCTAAGTGTTTTCTCCTTCTTAGCAAGGGAGACTTAGAAACAACCTTTTTGTTACAAGCTCTTCTATCGAAGTATTTCCAACTTAGATTTGTTCAATCTATTTTTTAGCCAATAAGACCAATATGTTGTGAGTGTCGAATTTAGAATCTAACACCAAGGTTGCCCAATGGTAATCATTAGGGCCAGTGACACGTGGTGGAGACTTATTATTTGAAGGCACAATATGTTGTAGGACTCAATGGGAGCGGCTTGAATGCAAAATAGCTTCACCCGTGTGCCGTAACAATCAATTTCCAAGTCAAGCATAATAGAATATTATTTCTAATGTTGGAAACAACCAGAGTGGGATGAAATTTTGGCTTGGTAGAGGATGATGGAGGCGGTGTCAGGGTTTCCACATTGGAATGAGGAGCATTCATGTTTCTTTCATCACTGAAGGAGACAAATATGATGTATATGAGTCGTGCAATCGGAGGAAGGGGATAGGATCTAGTTGCGGCACGGTTAGAGGAAGAGAGGGAAAGGACGATTGCAGAAGAAAGGGAAAATGACTACGGTAGCGACGATGTAGGAGAAGGAGCTACTGCGTTAACATCAGTAGTGGCGCAGGAGGAAGAGCTACTATAAGAGCGATTTTTTTGAGAAAAAGCGACATCAATGCTGCAGAAAGGAGCTATCGCGGTGGCGACAACAATTTTTAAAGAAAAGCAGCGACGGTGCTAAGAGAGGAGATATTGCGGCGGCGACGCCTTTAATTAGGTTTGACTCTGATACCATGTAAGATATTGAAAGATATTGAGATCAATCGTGTGAGAATAACACTATGGAGACTGTATTATATATGGAGATTTATAGTTCATTACATGTTATAGTCGATGTGAGACATATATATATATATATATATATATATATATATATATATATATATATATATATATATATATATATATATATATATATATATATATATATATATATATATATATATATATATATATATATATATATATATATATATATATATATATATATATATATATATATATATATATATATATATATATTATTTGAGCATGATCTATACATATGTTTTTTTCTGGCTCTATCAAGGTCTCGAGTCCTTGATCGTTAAGGGTAGGTGTGTTACTACAACATGCCATTTATCATACTATGAAATAAAAAATAATTGTATGTCCAATGATTCCTACAGACGTCACCAATTATCTGATCTAGACCTAAAATATCTTGGTGACAAACTCAACTTCAACAAAATGACATGTTCTAATAGTGCCTTCTTTATCAATGCTTTTCTTTGTATAGGTAAAAGATGTGGGGCTGAGGTGGGGCCTTTAAATGCTCTGACGCACTAGTCAGTGACCGAATAAGGCAAGGAACATTATTTTTAATTTTTAGAGAGTTTGTACATAGATTACGATCTTTTACCCCTTTTCTAAGTAGTCTATTTGGTTTTTGAGATTCCAAACATTCTTTCTTTGGGAAGATGTCAAAATATTACTTGTTATGTCATCTAATAGTCTTTATTTAATCATGCATACTGATTTGATGAATTCTTAGGGAAGAAATTAATATGTTTCTAAAGTGTAACACCTATTCCTTTCTAGACCTCATTTCCCCGTTGCCCTTAATCTAACCGTTCATGAGAGTCAATATTAAGATTAGATTACCTTTGAAGTTAGCCAATATCTTAATGGATTGATATTATCCTGACCTCGGCCCAGGCAGAAACATTTATCCTTATGAGTTTGTTTAGTTACAAAGACTTGTGATCTAGGAGTGTGATCTCAAGTTTGAATTTCACATGTGCTAATAATGAGGGATGTAATTGGTCCACCAGATTAATCTGTCCTTATATCAGATATCAAGTTTTTAAAAGTATTACTTTTATCCACAACAACAATAATAATCAAGCCTTGTTGCACTAAGTAGAACCTATTATATAGACCAACTTATGTCATAATGTTCTATCCAAGACCATGCTTCAATTCGAATCGTTTATCTCAAGATCTTTTTTAATAACCCCTCTTATAGTTTTTCAAGGTCTTCATCTACCTATAACCGTCTAACTTATCTCAATCTGATATACTCTTCTTACCACAAAATCTACATGTCTCGCCTCTACATGTCCAAACCACCTGAGTCTATTTTCAGTATCTTTTCTACTATAAGTATTATCCCAACACCCTATCTAATATTGCCACTTCTAATTTTATCTTATTTTTTATTCATTAAATAAAATTATTTACCAAGACAAAATGGAATTAAACAAATATTAGATTTTTTTGGGCATTTAATTTGGGCCTTGGTAGAACAAGAACCCAAACCATGTTGTCAATTTAGCAAACCTAAACAAAACGACGTCGTTCCAGTCTCCAATTTCATCCTTACCTAAAAACCTAACTATAAAAAACCGAAACCCTAACATTTATCAGTCTCTCAAAAACTTGTTCTCGATCGCTCAGTCTCTCTCTGCGGCTGAAGATTCTGAACGAGTGATATCCTTCAATTCCGTTTCTTCTAAAGGTAACATCCTTCAGTTCTTGTATCTTTTATTCGATCTATGCTCTATGATGCTTCCTTGCTGTCATATACTTTGATTCTGTTAGCTGGATTTGTTCGGTTTTTTTTGTTTTATTTTATTGAATTTGCAATTTTTTTGTCTGTTCATGATGCTGTAATCAGTTGCATGCTTTACCTTTGAAAAGTTTTGATCTGGTGTTAATCTTTTTTGCATATGTTATATGAGTTTTCTTTTATGTTTTTTCATAATTGGATCTAATTGATATGTTTTAATCTCTTTGAAATAGTATACTGAATTTTGTTTCTTATGTGCTTGTTAGTTTCTCTGTAAAGTTGATGTAATTAGAGTTATCTGGTAGCTGGATTTGATTTGTTGTTTTGTTGATGATTTTGGTTCATTTGTTTGAATAGATCTTATTTGGTTAAACTGATTTTGAACTTGGTGCTATTATCAGTTAGTTAGCAGAGTTGGGTTTTTTATGATCTGAACTTGATGCTGCTAACTGTTCATCTGATTTTGGACTTGATCTTGCTTGTTTTGTGTTTATTATTTTATTATTTTGTTGTTTAACATGAATTATGAGAACTGACCTTTGAAGCGGGCTGATTTTGCTGTTCACGTATTGTTATTATTTTATACTTGTTAAAATGACTTATTTCATTTGATTTTGAACTTGTATTGATCTGATTTTGAACATGGAGCTGTTTAACTGTTAATCTGATTTTGAACATGGAGCTTTTTAACTGTTAAGCTGATTTTGAACTTGATCTAGCTTGTTGTTTTTTCTGGGTCAAATTATCATTGTTGTTCTGTTAACACTATGAGTACTGACTTTTGAAACCTATTTTTTATACTGTTCAGTTATTATTGTTTTATATTGATTATCAACTCTTATTTTTTTTAATAAATATTAGATCTGACTTGTGGAACTTCTTTGAATTGCAGTTAAGACATCATGGGTAAAGAAAAGGTTCACATTAACATTGTCGTCATTGGACATGTCGACTCTGGAAAATCAACCACCACTGGTCACTTGATCTACAAGCTAGGAGGTATTGACAAGCGTGTGATTGAGAGGTTTGAGAAGGAAGCTGCTGAAATGAACAAACGTTCATTCAAGTATGCATGGGTTCTTGACAAGCTTAAGGCTGAGCGTGAAAGAGGTATTACCATTGATATTGCCTTGTGGAAATTTGAAACCACCAAGTACTACTGCACAGTCATTGATGCTCCTGGACATCGTGATTTTATCAAGAACATGATTACTGGAACCTCCCAGGCTGATTGTGCTGTCCTCATTATTGATTCCACCACTGGAGGTTTTGAGGCTGGTATCTCTAAGGATGGGCAGACTCGTGAACACGCTCTTCTTGCTTTTACTCTTGGAGTGAAACAGATGATCTGTTGTTGTAACAAGGTGATTTTTTCATGAATTCTGTTTTTTTTGTATATATTATCATTTGTTGATTTGAGTTTGCGGATTCTGACTATGGTTACAATTTTTTGTTTCAGATGGATGCTACCACCCCTAAGTACTCCAAGGGCAGGTATGAGGAAATTGTGAAGGAAGTTTCTTCCTACTTGAAGAAGGTTGGATACAACCCAGACAAAATTCCATTCGTTCCCATTTCTGGTTTTGAGGGTGACAACATGATTGAGAGGTCCACCAACCTTGACTGGTACAAGGGACCAACTCTCCTTGATGCTCTTGACAACATCAATGAGCCCAAGAGACCCTCAGACAAGCCACTCAGGCTTCCATTGCAAGATGTTTACAAGATTGGTGGTATTGGAACTGTGCCAGTGGGACGTGTTGAAACTGGTGTTGTGAAGCCCGGTATGCTTGTGACTTTTGCTCCTACCGGTTTGACAACTGAGGTTAAGTCTGTTGAGATGCACCACGAGGCTCTCACTGAGGCTCTTCCAGGAGACAATGTCGGATTCAATGTTAAGAATGTTGCAGTCAAGGATCTCAAGCGTGGTTTTGTTGCATCCAACTCCAAGGATGACCCTGCCAAGGAAGCTGCCAACTTCACCTCCCAAGTCATCATCATGAACCATCCTGGACAGATCGGAAACGGTTATGCACCAGTGCTAGATTGCCACACCTCTCACATTGCTGTGAAGTTTGCTGAACTTATCACCAAGATTGACAGGCGATCTGGTAAGGAGATTGAGAAGGAGCCCAAGTTTTTGAAGAATGGTGATGCAGGTATGGTTAAGATGATTCCCACCAAGCCCATGGTTGTGGAAACTTTTGCCGAGTATCCTCCACTTGGTCGTTTTGCTGTTAGGGACATGAGACAAACTGTTGCTGTCGGAGTCATCAAGAGTGTGGAGAAGAAGGACCCAACTGGAGCCAAGGTCACCAAAGCTGCAGCCAAAAAGAAGTGATTTCACACCTTAGTTAATCTTTTCCGAGTCTTAGTCTGTTTTTCCTGTTTAATTTTAAAGTTTTTGCCGGTTTCATTAAGCTAAACTTACAAAACTGGGTTCTTGATCGACTGTGGTCAGTTTTCCAGTTTGTTTGATTTTCCTGGTACTGTTTTTTGGTGTTAATTTATGTTTCAGAACTACATTTTGTTGCTGAGGGATGTTTAAATTGCATTAATTTAGACATTTTTGTCTACCCTTTGTTAAGTTATGTTACTGATTGTGGTTTAACATTTTTATCTATGATTTTGTTGTTTGACTGAGCAGGTTATTGAACTTGCATGATAGTGCCTGCAAAATTAATACTAGTACCTATGTCTGAACAATTAAAAATTATGTCCACTGAAAGTTATAATCAAACAACTCTTTAGTTACATGGACATCACTCATAAAAAATTAGTAAACATTATTTTTCTTAATCTTTAAATAACAGGGAACTATTTTTCTTGTTACTTTTTGCAAATTTCTATTGCATATATATCTTATTCATATTCCTCTACACTATTTCCATGGCTCTCTTTTTTACCATCTACTATCTACCCTTTACTATAAGATTGACAACTACCCAAAATGCCCTATCTAGCCTTTATTAGATCGACCAAACTATCCAAAATGCTCTTTCACCAAATTTAATTTGCACTACTAAAAGAGTAAAGTTGTAACTAACAAAATAGCATACCACTTTCAATAAGTGTTCCATTTTCATTGGTCCAAATTAAAATATATTTTCCCCTCCAATCCAACTTACAGTCAATTGACACCTTCTCTTTCTCAGTTTCTGTCTTTTCTCTCTCTCTCTCTCTCTCCCGTAAGCTTTCACCCTGGTTCAGCCGTGGAACAACAACAAAACTGACCTATACCATAACAGATCCGCAAGACACTTTCTCAGGTCTTTTTCTTTTCCGGATTTGATTCGCGACAGAAATCTTCAGATGCTACACCTCCTCCGCCAAAACCATGAAGGACATCCTTGGTTCCGGTACGTGCCGTCGTCAATTGTTTTTGTTTTTTCAAGAATATTTTGTAAGATATGTTCATAATAATCATTCAATTCAATTGACTTTTAATGACTTTTGGAATTCTGTAAACGAGTTTGTTTAGGTTTTTATGTGCAGTTGGAGCAGAAGCAGAAGATGGTAACATTGAATTGTTTTTGTCTGAAATTAAGGGCAAAGATTTAGCTGAGGAATCTGATGATGTAAGTTTTTGACTTTCAGTCAATATTGCTTCTTTTATCATTTTTTTCATGTTAAGTGTTCTTACTTTCTTATTAGTTAGGATTTGATAAATCCTCTGTAGTTAGTAGCCTTTGTTGTAATGTCTGCAATGCAAGGTGAATTTGAGAAAGCCAGTATGTTGGTTACCCAGGCATTGTCCATATTGCCCAACAGTCCAGAAGCTACACTCACTGCAGTTTATGTGGATCTCTTGCTTGGTAAGCAACAGGATGCTCTAGCCAAGCTAAAAAGTTGTAGCCTTATTAGATATGCAGGTGAGGCAGCACTAATAGAATTCTAATTCACTATATGGCAGTATCAAGATTTCACATGGTATATTTGTGCCTGATTATTAAAATTTTAAATTCTATATCCTTTTGTCTCTTTTCACCAGGCAAATGACTAAATGCAACATTATTCGTGCCTTTTATCTTTTGATCAGGTGGCTGCTGCAAAGGCAAATTTAAACTATATTGGGTTAGGTGGAGATATTGGCTGCATGGTGAATGGAGCAGGGTTAGCAATGGCTATAATTAAGTTGCATGGAGGTACCTCTGCCAATTTTCTGGATGTAGGTGGCAATGCTTCTGAAGACCAGGTAATGCTTTACCGACATGATTGTTCTCATTTTGGTATTAGTATTGGTCTTGGTTAGATTATTAAGATCAAGATGATTGCTCTTATTTCTTCCTATATCACATCATTTTGTATACTGCTTGTGCATTAACCTGAAATTCAGAAAGCTTTTTTTAGAAAAGCATCCTTTAGTAGTCGCTACTCACTAGATAGCACCTTCAATGATCTGATCTCTACCTTAAGATGTTTTTGTTCATATTTACTGTAATTATGTAATCAGGTGGTTGAAGCATTTAAGATATTGACTGTTATGATAAATTTGGAAGATTCACCAAAGTTATGATAAATTTGGGCTACAAACAGAGCCAAGGGGATCACACATTATTTATCAAACATTCAGTTTCAGGGGGAGTAACGATTTTATTAGTGTATGTGGATGATATTATAGTAAGTGGGGATGATAAAAAGGAGCAGCAAGTGCTAAGTGAATGTCTTGCCAAGGAATTCGAGATCAAGACATTAGGGAGACTTAAATATTTTTTGGGAATTGAAGTGGCCCATTCCAAGAAGGGAATCTTCATATCTCAACAAAAATATATTACTGGCTTGCTTAAAGAAACAGGTAAGACAGCCTGCAAACCAGCAAGTATTCCAGTTGACCCGAATATAAAGTTGGGAAGTGCGAAGGAGGATATTGCTGTGGACAAGGAAATGTATCAAAGACTTGTAGGCAAGCTTATTTACCTATCTCACACAAGACCAGACATTGCTTTTGCTGTAAGCTTAGTTAGCCAGTTTATGCACCAACCAAAAGAAGCACATTTGCAAGCTGCTCTTAGAATTGTGCAGTATTTGAAAGGGACCCCTGGAAGAGGGATTTTGTTCAAACGAAACAAGAGTGTAAGTCTTGAAGCATATACGGATGCAGACTATGCGGGGTCAGTGGTAGATAGAAGATCAACTACTGGATACTGCACCTTCCTTGGTGGAAACCTAGTAACTTGGGAGAGCAAAAAACAGAGTGTGGTAGCTAGATCGAGTGCGGAAGCAGAATTTCGAGCAATGGCCCATGGAATATGTGAACTTCTATGGCTGAAGATTATATTGGAAGACTTGAAGATAAAGTGGGATGAACCTATGAGGTTATATTGTGACAACAAATCTGCAATTAGTATAACCCACAACCCGGTGCAGCATGATAGAACTAAACACATCGAGGTTGACAAACACTTTATCAAGGAAAAACTAGACAGTGGTATGATTTGCATACCATATGTATCCACTCATAACCAACTTGCAGACATACTCACCAAGGGGCTGAACTGCATTAACTTTGAAAGGATTATATCCAAGCTGGGAATGGAAAACACCTATTCACCAGCTTGAGGGGGAGTGTCAAAACCCACGATTCTCTCTGTGTATTTTAGGATGTTTTATATTTGCTATAACAATTGTATCTTGCTATTATTAGGTCTAGGTATTTATGATCAATCCCATAATTACAGGGATTTGTTCCTTTAAGAATTAGTTGTCCATATTTCCTAAAATAGGCGCAGACTCATGTATATATACAGGTCTAATGATCTAATAATATAATAAGAAATATATTATTCCTTTTAAATCTGAGAATTCTTAATATTTTCAGCTTTTAAAATAAATTTACAGCTAATGTTAATGTTTTCATCATCTCATTTTCCACTTGAAAGAGAACATTGGTCGAACACGGCATCCATATGACCCGATCTTATAGTTGCATTAACTTCTTCATTTTTTAGGTTGCACTAAAGTACCCGTAATTGTTCGTCAAGAAGGCACTAATGTTGACCAAGAGAAAATAATTTTGAAGGTAAATGTCACGTTTACAGCCTTTCCATACCAAGGATGTTTCCTTCTCAAAAGGTTTTTTTGTGCTTTATTGGTTGATTATAGTTTTTGGATTGTAGGTTCTTGGGAATAAGAAGAGTATTATGATGATAAAAAAAAAGTATGTAGTATCCCCAAAGAAAGTATTATTATGCAGTATAAAAAAAAGTATGTTAGTCAATTTTTTTTTGATAACAATGAGCTTAATCCCCAGAATAATGGGAAAGACAAGAAAAAAGCGTAGGCATACATAAATGGATTTGCTAGATTCTTGTCAGAATATGCTTAGGAACTTCCCATGAAGTTTATGCTGCAAAATTCTGTACTTACTCTTGTATCAAGAAACATAATTCAATGTTGCAGAAGGGACCTTCCATTTTACTGGTGCGGTCCAAATTTTCAGCATTACATCTTGATATTTTACATGAAAGTGTTGTTTGTATACCAGCCCTGATTTTTTGTTTGACTAGATATGTGTAATTGACTTAATGATAGTGAAAATTTGGTTCATTTCCTTTTCATCTGTTATTTAGATTTCAGCCTCAAAATATTCGTTATATACTTATATTTTACTTGCTTTCATCCATACTGACTTGAGACTTGAGAGGTAGGGCCCCGAAGGGCGAGAATATCTGCATTTCCTTGCCACATGGTTTAGGCTATGTTACAGCATAGGTGGAAAATTTTGCTCAAAGTGTGTTTGTAGTGTCAATATTAAATTTGGTTGCTGTAGAATAACAATTAGAATATGTTTAGATTTCTGATAATAAGAAGGAAATATTTGATGGAACAAGTTAATGCAAATTGAGATGTTAAATCTTACATAAGTCAGCAGTAGTAGGGTTACTAGAAGAGAAATAGAGCTCTTCGAACACTGCTTCGTGCACAAAATTTCTACTTCCCTCCATAAAATTGAACAATGCAATGATGATGAGACATGGATGACACACTGACACCAACTATGATGAGAAACTATTTGGTTGTCTTTCTTTTCCCAACGTAGTGTGATGGAAATTTGTGTACATTTTATTCCAGTATTTGCTGTCTGTTTACGATATGTTTTGAATATGGTTGAGCTGTAGTGGAATGATTTAATTTATGCACATTTTGATGATATTTGTGATAGGATTTTGATGCCGTCTGATATACTGCATCCGGTTATTGTGTTAAACTTGTGTTTGATATGAGTGTTAAGCTGTACGATCTTTTAGTATTGAACCTATGTTTCCGGCGGACGCCTTATTCTATTAGATATTAATTTCTATTTTGGCTGGTTTTTGGGTTGAGATTAGTTGCATGCACTTAGTAACTTGCACATTGTGGAGTTGTGTGAGTATTTCCTGCAACATTGATGAAATATCTGCTATGTTTGAAATGGCTGTCTGAGCTCTCGTGGAAAATTAACCTATTATGAGCTCTATATGATTTAATCACAATCTGGTTTTATTTCTGTTTTCCATGGTCAATTAGATACTTAACATTAGAGTTACTCCTTTGTTAGAAATGACATCAATAACTACGTATTTTTGCACAACCCATTTTATATACTGTCAAATGTCCTTGGTTGGCTTCTATTTAGTGAATGTTTATGTGAGTTTCTTGGGGCTCATAATTTACCTGTTGCATAGCTGAGCCTCTTTTCTCAGCAATGAAATGCTCAACACTCTCCTCGACACTCTCCTTGATTCAGAGGTTTTAGGAATATACAATATGATACTTTCATCAACACATGTAAATATTTACTTATGTTTTGACATTAGATAGATATTTGTAATTTGAGGTTGAATGATTATATGGCGGATTACACTTCATAATCTTTATACTGGTTTTGACTCTTTTGCCATATGGATTTTTATTAGATATATCTTTTAAAATTGTACAAGTTGCCTACATAAAAACTTAGGATTAGGCATATAACCTAATTACTAATTTAATGATCAATTTACTATTATGCAAAAATAATTTAATGATCATTATTAAAATTAATTTAAAAATATAAAATCAAACATTATGGAGAAAAAACTTTTGACATATATAATAGAATGTTTAATATAAAATAATTGTTAGAGTAAATTACTATATATTTTGATATTAAAATTGTTATTAAATTTATTAATTTAGTGTATAGTATTAAATTATAAAATTTAAAATTAATATATATTAAGTTTGTATATAATTAATAAAATATATATTTGTTATCAAAATTAGTTTTAATTTTTTTCTTTTTTAATTGACAATTTACTATTTATTTTAAAGTAAACATATTTCTTATAGTAGATGCTTTTATATTTTTGAGTAACTTAAGTTTATTAAAATCATCATTTTAATTTTTTTTACAGATAATTGATTTTTTATCTTACACTATTAGAATAATCTATTTTATTTAAATTAACAATTTTTTTAGAAATAAAATATTTATTTTTAAATATTATTTTTCTCCGTTTCACAATTTTTTTTTGTCTTTTTATTTTTATATTTAATATAATTAAATTTATATTAATATTATTCATTTTACAAATAAATAAATTATTTCAAATTTTATATTTATATTTAAAATTTTAAATTTGCATAATTATTTTTTTTTACATATAATTAATTTACATAGTCATTAATCAAATAATTATGTGTGACAGTTACGTATATTATCGTATCATTCAAAATATACTAAATTAAATATAACAAATACTTGTGCTGATCTCTTATTAGTTAGTTAAAAGAATTAAATTTATGTTGAAAGGATGTCGAGACTTTGAACTAGGTTAGTTTTGTAAGAAAATGTCATAAATAACACCACCGTCTAACTAATAAATTCGTTGGTTGAAATCTCGGTTCAATAAATTAAAAAATTTAATAAAATTGTCAAAATATTTGACTCTTACTATACTAACTTTAAATTTAAAATATAATTTATTGTTAGTTTACATATCCTTCCATTCATTTTTATATTACTTTTACTCCGTCCATTTTTATCATATAAGCGCAATATATTAAAAAGTTTAAAAAATACTTATAGAAATTGATCTTATCGAATCAGAATGGACTGTCACAGTTAGCTCGAGCAGAAGTTGAATGAGATAAGGGGTACACTTCAATGACAAAGTAAGTTGCGGAATGAGCAAGCAAGCGTAAGAGTTAGAAAGTGTTGAATACCTGACCCTTTTAAGAGAGAGGATATTTACAGTCCCCAGCGCTGGGCCAAGGTCCCCATTATTAGGCCACGTTGAGGCCCAATAATAGGAATTGCCAGGGCTTACGTGTGTATGGAGTCCAACAAGTGAACTCCTCCCTGGTCAACTGCTCCACGAGAATAGGATTGAACTCGTGATTCTCGGAGTACAGTTTAAGATGACTGTCGTGAGATCGTAGGCCACGTTCTCCAACGTTCGTGTGGGGAGTTGCCCAACGGTCTCTAACTTGGGTTCTGTTTTTTGGCTTCCCATTCGAAGGGCAAGTGTAGGCCCAATTCAGATCAGGAGCCCTCCAAGTTATTGCCCTTGAGCAAAAGGGCGATGACTTGAGTTCAACTCTCAATGCCAGAGACTTGATCGAGAAGGACAGTCAAAGTCCTCTGAAAGGAATGAGTTGTTGCCCGCATGGAGGAAAGTTCAAGTGTGTCAGGGATATTATGGATGAACGAGCAGTGAGACCGAAGGGATCAACCGCTTGCTCGAGAGGACCGTATTAGTTACAGGGAGCCTCCGTGAGATCTCTTTCGACGCGCTAGTCTTCAGGGAGTTGTCGATGTGTCGAGCATTATTTCGTCCCTGTGGTGGTTGAATGGATGTGGCTGTGTACGCACCACAGCGTCGAGCATTCCCTCGCGCGGGATATTTGTCTCGTGCTTGTATGGGGATAACACGTTGGAGTCGGGCATATGCTCGTCGATCTAGAAGGGGCACATGGTTGATTTGCTAAGCCACGTGGCTAATGCTTTCGGGTGCCACCCCTTCAAGGGGAAACCCAAAAGGCCCAATCAAATGATGACCTTTCGTGAGAGATCTCGTGGGGCGTGGGTCACCTATAAAAATGGGGCCCCTGGGTCTCATTTGTCATCTTCTTAAATTTCCTTTCAAATTTTCTTGCTCGTTGTGTGAAGCAATCCTCTCAACTTTCCATATTTTCTTGTTCGTTGTGTGAAGCAATCCTCTCAACTTCCCATATTTTCTCTTTGAGTTCTTTATCCAAGTAAGTTACAACCTCTTAACACCATGTTTCTTCAGCGTTTCTGGATTAAATGTCTAAAATATGCCTTGATTGGATGAACATTTATGAGTTCTACGATGAACACTCATGAATGTTCATTGAAGTTTATGAGTTCTGCGTTAAATACTCATGAATGTTCATTGACATTCACTAGCTATAGCGTCGAGGGAGCTCCCCGAATAGTGGCCGTAACACAGGGGACGTTTTTCCCCAGATAACAGGGATTATCTCGGGCTTCTTGCTCGGTGAATGATCATCCCTCCGACAACATGATCTCCCAACGAAATAGTCCGCTTTAGCGTGTAGTCGAGGGCTTGGGTCGAGCTCGTCGCCCTTTCACTTGATCTGCGGTGGAAGGGTGGATTTGATAATGTCGAATTCACTATTTTCCCCTGCTTTTCAGGTATAATGGCGCACTCAGTCGGGGATGACATTTCGGCCGCCAATTATGAAGACGAGCCCTACAACGACGAGGACCCTTTGGCTTGGGTTGCTCCTGAGCCCCGAAATAAACGGTCGTGCTTTTCTCAAGACGCAACAGACGCATCCAATTGTCCGGAGGTGCGTGCGTGCAGAAGCCCCCCCCCCCGCCATTTGGATGCTCTAAATTCCCCACCGCGACCGAAGAATATGCTCGGCATACCCGAGAAAACGGTTTCTAATGTATGAATTCGCGTTTAAAGAGGCGGGGATACGCTTGCCTTTCAATGATTTTCAAGTCGGGGTTTTC